ATCACCTCTGTGTGGGAGGGTCTCTTAATATCAATCTTATCACACCTTTTTATTGTTGTACAAGAACAAACTTCTGAAGACTAAGGTCTCCTTCCTCTCAAAGGTGGTCTCTGCCTTCCACAGTAACTGGGATTTGGTTCTCGCTTCCTTATATCTTGCTTCAAAACATCCTGAGAAAATTTCTCTCCATTATTTGGTGAAATCTTACCTCTGTTACTGCCTCCTTTAGACAATTGGATTTCCTCTTTGTGCGTTCTGAGGGTTCCCACAGGGATCTCCCTGCCTCTCGCTCCATTGCTCAGTGGTTTAGACAAGTTAACATCAAGGTTTATAGTTTGCAGAATAGGGTTCCTTCCTTTCCTGTTAAAGGAACAATAAAATTATACATGCATATTTTATGCAGGTACAAAAATGTGCATTGCACATCTCCTGCACACCTGGGGATGTACAGGCAAGCAGATATACTGACAGGAAGAATCAAACTACCACGGCACTCCACAGCGCTATGGTAGTTCACTGAGAAATTTTACTTTCTCATTCACAGATGACTGTGAATTAATGATGCAGGCGGAGCCCTGCACGATCATGTGTTTTTTTTTTGTTGTTTTTTTTTTAACTTTGACAGCCAGTGGGAGAAGATCCCGAGAGCTGTCAAAGCGGGGGCCAGTCTATTCATTACATGTTACACCCTGAATATGGGTGTAACATGTTATGAAAGGTGAACTTATCTTTTAAGACATAGGGCTCATGTACACTGTAGCTGATAAACTCATGTTTAGGAGCTGTTCAGCGGGTTTTTTTTTTTCAGCAGCCGCTGAACTCACCCTGTTTTCCTATGTGTCCATGTACACATCATTGTTAAGTCATTTTTTTAAATGCAGAAATCTTGCGTTCAGCAGGCGATTTTATCAGTGTTTCAAAAGCAAACCGCTTGTAAACGCAGCAAATTGCGTTTGTAAGCGTTTGTGTCTGAAATTTTTTTTTAACTCTTCCAGTTCCTGATGCTGTCCAGAGCCTTTTTTCATCATGAAAAATGCATGCAAAGCATTTTCAAGGTACTCAGATGGACAAAACACTGAACACAGGATGTTTCTACCAAGCTTGTCACACATTGTAATGACCAATTCAGACCTCTCCCACCCTTGGAAACAAAAGATATATTAATGACCATTCACACCTCAAATTTCTCATGAAGACCCCCTGCCAGGTGGCCATAATGACTCACTCCACCAGACACCTATCCCACCCTTGGAAACAAAAGAAATGTTAATGAGCAACTCACACCTAGGGTAATCTCAACGGTACTTCTGTCTCTGCTTCTACTCTCTGTATTTCTCTGAAACAGTCTGACATAATTAATAATTTACCACTTTTCAGTGCATTCTGGGCATTTGGGAGGTTCTCCTGTGCTTATCTTTAAAGACCGCTTCTAAATGCAAACGCGCATAAACACATTATGCAACCGCGGCCAAACAGACGTTTTTAACCTACATTTTTCAGCAGTCAGTTTCCATCGTTCAGAAGTGTCCCAAGTACATGGGGCCATACTTTACCAGATCTGTTAGTGCTTCAGTGGCATCAGTTTCTCCAATTTTCAAGGCTGTCCCCTGGGCTTCTATTCATGTTTGTTAAGTTCTACGCAATGGATATTCAGGTCTCAGCTGACGCCAGTTTTCAGCATATTGTGCTACAAGTTGCTCTTAAAGTATATTGAGTGCTTTTTGACCTGTAGGTATGTGGGCCTTGCCTGTTGGCTTGTTTGTGGTGTTGTCCAACCCTCAGTTGGACTGGTTTTGGGTATCCCAGTTATAATGATTAAAGCACCTGTGCCTTGAAAGACTATGAAAATAGGATTTTTTATTTAGTAGTAAATGCCATTTTCCAGAGTACGGTACAGCACACAGGTCCCTACCCTCTGTTTTTATATTCTCCCTATTGGTTGCTACAGTCTCCTGAAGGCAGTTCCATATACCCAGTTGTAATAATTAATAAGCCTGTACCATACTCAACACATTTTTTACTGGTGTGTCAGAAATCATATTATTTGTCTGCTAAAATGTTTGCTACATTCTGTGCAATTGCCAATACATATAAAAGCAGTAAATTTTCATCTTTGAACTGTTTGGTTTTTTTTACTTCTAAAACAAAAAGAGCCAATTCATTACATTTTTGGCATCACCAATTTAAAGTATAACTAAAGGCAAAACCTTTTATTTTTTTTTCGTTTTGGATGGAGTTGACAGGATGAAGTGGACAGGGGTCAGTTTTTATTGCTGTCTGTGTCTCCGTTAGGGAAAATCACCCTATTTGCCCTGTTTACCGTTATCAATAGTGAAAGTAAAAGAAGATCTAAAATTTTGGGTAGGCACTAGAATAGTAAGAGGAGAAATCCTCCAATAAGGACACTGGTGCCCTGGGGTTCCCTCACTTTGAAGGCATTTCCTCTCAGTTCCAGTTTTGGCTGTGGTACAAGAAGTGAAGGGAAATCTCCCCCATGGGACACAGATGGCAAAAAATGACAGGGGTTACTATCCCTTACCCTATCCAAAGTGATAAAAAAAAACGTTTTGCCTTTAGTTACACTTTAAGCACAGTAATTTCTGGCAAACGATTTCAGCACCACTAAAATCTACAAAAGATTACACACAAACAACCAGCTTGTTAATACCAAAGAAAAAATAGCCAATGCCTTTTCTTCGTTATCTAAAGTGTATTTACATTTTGCAGTCACATTTTAGAAAAGCCCATTATATGCTTGTTATGTGTTCCCATTCATACAGCACACCAAAAATCTCTCACCCTTTACATGTTTATGAGATGTCATGCAAGCATTTCTGAACAAGTTCAGGTTGAGTCTGTCCCAGTAGAAAGGCTTGGAACAGGCTGAGCTTCCTCTCTTTAACATACCTAGAAGAAGGCAAGCTTCTAAATCTTTAATAGTTTGTTAGGACAGATAGTTGAACTGGACTTGAAAACTAATAATGCGATCTCAGACAAGGTTATTTATGGCAAACATAGATCTTCCCCAGCCCTCTCACAAACAGATAACTAAGCAGTATTTTTCTTTGATGGAGCATCAAAATGGTATGAAGCTATCTTTAAATATATTTTTACATTATGCTTTATGAACGAACACATGTAACAAATATAAAAGTAGTCATTATCATAATTTGACCACAAAAGTGGAAATACACTTTGAAGGGCAACTGTACCTTTTTAGTACAGTTTTCCTTTAATCCCACCACCTCGAGTATAGCCTGCTATGAAAAATACTTAACTTACTCCCATTCCTGAAATATTCGCTGTGAGCTTCACACAGCCTTCGCTTGGAACCGTTCTTTCCAGGTTCTCTTGTTAGTAGGCATATGTGCCACAGCCCTATTCATTTTTATGAGTGATCTGTAGTCATAGTAGCTACTAGCTACCCAGCAGAGCACTGCTCACCTATAGTAATAAATGGGGCTGCAGTGCACATGCTCAGTAAGAAGAGGGCCCTGCAAGAAAGGTTTCTGCACAGTGAATGTCACGGGAATGGGAAATAAATTCTTTTACATAGCAGACTACAGTCAGAAGGTGGGGGATTAATTAAAATACAACTATACTAAAAGGTAAAGTTGTCCTTTAAAACTTGTGCATCTAATTTGTCTCTGGGAATCTGATTAAGAAAAACTGCCTCTTCATCAAATGCTCAGAGCAGGTTAAATGGTAAACTGCAACTTTTTTTTCTCTCAAAGTTATGTTAAGTGAAAAGGAACATGTTACAAATATAAAAGTAGTTGTTATCCAAATTTGGCTGCAAAAATGGAAATACATTTAAATATTAACAATAAACCTCTAATAAAAAACGGAATCTTAAGGTGTTACTAAACCCAGGACCCTGAATTCACGACACTTGGTCTCCCACAGTACACGGAAGTGCAATTACTTTAGTAAATATAAACCACTAAATACCTTTTCTCATCAGCAGTTAGAACAGTCTTGTGACTTCTATCAGCGTCCAGCAAAGCACATTTTAAAGCTTGTATGGGGCGTTTTAATTCTGCTCTAGGAGGATGCAGAACCCCTGACCTCTGCCTGGACAGTGCTGATTGGCCCTGTGCTGATCACATGCACTCTCCCAAAGAAAAAAAAAAAAACCTCTAGCAATACACACAAAACTGAGCATGTGCAAAGTGACTCCGCACAATATGTCTTAGCAGGAGATAAGAGGGGGACACTGGAAGAAGGGGAGGATCAGAAAACTCAGGATCAAACAGCCTTTTTACACAATGTGAAGGATTAACCCCTTAGGTTCCACAGGGAGTATAACAAGCATGCTTTACTGCATATACAGACTGATTTTACTGTTGTGGGTTTAGTAACACTTTAACCCTCTCTCTCCTAATGCTGAGACTTAACTCCTAACTCTGATGCTAAACCTAATCTTAAAGTATTCCTGTAATAAGAATAGTATGGGGACTGCCACTGCTGGCCATCTTCAAAAATACTAGTTGCCCGTCGTAAACTCAAAACAGAGGCAAAATAATCAACCTGACAGCCAATCAAATTGGATTTTCACAGGAGAGGAGGAGGCAATGGCAGCCTATTAATCTTTTTCATGATATAATATACTGCATACCGACAGAACTAAGATATTGCCTGAACTCTAAGGGAAATTCTTTAGAATCAATAACAGCTTTGATTACAAATGGTGTAACTGTCTCAGGCAACTAAGATTTCCAGGAAATGGGCAAGTTTGGTTATATACTTTGCCAAAGATAGTCTTTTTGATGTGTATACAATAGGTGTATTAATAAAACACAAGATAGGACTTACACACTTAAGCACATCTAAAGTAAAAAACATTACCTATTTAACTAAATAAGATTCAAAAGAAAGTGTAGCAGCAAAACCTGAACCACTTTTTACAGTATTGACAATATATCATGCAGGTGCTCAGTAAAAATGTGTTTTTTTATTATTGTTTTTTTATGAAAATGTCAGATCTAGATAAATAATATTCATGCTGGAGCCTTTGGAGGTTCTGGAGCCTTTGGAGGTTCTGGAGCCTTTGGAATGGTCAGTTTTTTCCATCGCCTCAGTACAACTTTGTATTTGTCTGTTGACGTTTTTTCTTTTTGGACTTCTTTTAGCATAGTTCTCATAACTGTTGTAGTTACAGTTGCACGGTTTTCTTCTACGATTAGATCCAAAATGTCTCCAACTTTAACCTAAAAAGCAGATGTGTTTAAGGAAGAATTATCTAAAAACACAAAAAGATCTGGAGGTCTGTTCCAAGATAAACATGTTTTTTTTTTTTGCAATCTTTAACCATAAAATTCAGTTTTCGGCTACAGGATGTCATAAACTTTGGCACAGCACTCACAGGTGAATCTTTGCAGCCAGTCATAGCCAAGTGACATTGTTTCTACTAGTGTTAGGCTAAATTAACCACCTACAGTGGATATAAAAAAAAACCCCTGTTAAAATGTCAGGTTTCTGTGATGTAAAAAATGAGCCAAAGGTAAATAATTTCAGAACTGTTTCCACCTTTAATGTGACCTATAAACTGTACAACTCAACTGAAAAACAAACTGACTTTTTTTTGGGGGGGACGGGGGGGGGACACTAAACATAAAAAAATAAAATAATGTGGTTGCATAAGTGTGCACACCCTCTTATAACTGGGGATGTAGCTGTGTTCAGGATTAAGCACTCACATTCAAAATCGTGTTAAATAGGAGTCAGTACACACCTGCCATCATTTAAAGTGCCTCTGATTAACCCCAAATAAAGTTCAGCTGTTCTAGTAGGTCTTTCCTGACATTTTCTTAGTCACATCCTACAGCAAAAGCCATGGTCCGCAGAAAGCTTCCAAAGCATCAGAGGGATCTCATTGTTAAAAGGTATCAGTCAGGAGAAGGGTACAAAAGAATTTCCAGGGCATTAGATATACCATAGAACACAGTCATCATCAAGTAAAGAAAATATGGTGCAACAGTAACATTACCAAGAACTTGACGTCCCTCCAAAATTGATGAAAAGACAGGAAGAAAACTGGTCTGGAAGGCTGCCAAGAGGCCTACAGAAACATTAAAGGAGCTGCAGGAATATCTGGCAAGTACTGGCTGTGTGGTACATGTGACAACAATCTCCCGTATTCTTCATATGTCTGGGCTATGGGGTAAAGTGGCAAGACGGAAGCCTTTTCTTGTGAAGAAAAACATCCAAGCCTGGCTAAATTCTGCAAAAACACATATGAAATCTCCCAAAAGCATGTGGGAAAATATGTTATGATCTGATGAAACCAAGGTTGAACTTTTTGGCCATAATTCCAAAAGATATGTTTGGCAGAAAAACAACACTGCACATCACCAAAAGAACATTATACCCACAGTGAAGCATGGTGGTGGCAGCATCATGCTTTGGGGCTGTTTTTCTTCAGCTGGAACTGGGGCCTTAGTCAAGGTAGAGGGAATTGTGGACAGTTCCAAATACCAGTCAATATTGGCACAAACCCTTCAGGCTTCTGCTAGAAAGCTGAACATGAAGAGGAACTTCATCTTTCATCATGACAATGACCCAAAGCATACATCCAAATCAACAAAGGAATGGCTTCACCAGAAGAAGATTAAGAGAAGCCCAGACCTGAATCTGATCGAAAATCTGTGGGGTGATCTGTGCACAGGAGTATTGTAATAAAATCAAAAGGTGCCCTCAACTAAGGCTACTTTCACACTGATCTGCCGCAAAAACGCATAGGCATTTTTACCGCGGTGAGCGTTTTTTTTAAAGGACACGAATTAAAGACTGCACCAAAAACGTTTCTCAGAGGTTTTTATGCGTTTTTCAGACATTTTCTATTGATTTCAATGGAAAGAGGCATTTTTGGGGCATTTCTTTTAACTCACCAAACATGCCCCAAAGATGTTGCAAGCAGGAGTTTTTACACCACACCGCAATGCCTCAGTGTGAAAACATAAATAGATATACATTCACATACATAGAGAAGCATTTTTCTTGAGCTTTTAAGGCGCTTTCTTTAAACGCAAAAACGTTTCAAAAACTCCTCAGTGTGAAAGTAGCCTAAGCATTAGTTTAATGGTGTGAACACTTATGCAACCATATTATTTTAATTTTTTACTTCCCTCTATGAGTGCTGTAATAAAACCAACTGAGTTGTACAGTTTATAGGTCACATTAAAAGGTGGAAAAAGTTCTCTCTGTTTCATTTTTTTTTACATCACAGCTACAGAAGTGTTTAGATTTTGTGTGTGTTTGGTTAGAACTTGAAAGCATCAGAGGTTTAAGTTCTTTAGCCCCAGCAGGCCTTGAATGCTTTCATTTTAGGGACGATTTTACAGCTCTAAATAAATATTGTGAACCAGAAAATGTATTTTCTAGTCATGCAACCCCAGACAAAAAAGTCCTACCGCTCTACTTTTCTTCCACAGCTTTTCTCCATTCAGGCGAAGCTTTCCACTGTAAAATGCGTCTTCCAATTTGCTTATAAAAAAAAAAAGTTAAGAGTTCATGTCATCTATTCTTGTTAGATTTTACTTACAATGAAGATACAGTGCAGAAATGAAACCATGTTATATGCTTATGTAACGGAAACAGGTAAAAAAAAAAACATTTGATAAACCTAACCCTAGTAACAATAAAAAAACTGTTCTGTAAAATCATATTCTTGATAAAATAAACACAAGGGCATACAACAATCAGTCATAACATTATGACCACCCACCATAACCCATTGAGGCATGAACTCCCTCCACTAGACCTCTGAAGGTATGCTGTGGTGTCTGCCACCAAGCCATTAGTAGCTGATCCTCCTAGTCCTGTAAGTTGGAAGGTAGTGTCTCCATGGATTGGACTTGTTTTTCCAGTACATCCCACAGATGTTCAATTGGATTGACATCTGGAGGCTAAGTCAACACCTCAAACATGTTGTGCTCAAGTCATTATTGAATTCATCAGACCAGGCTACCTAATCCATGGCTCTTTTGTCAAGTTCTGATGCTCATTTGCCCATTTTAGGTGCTTTTTGGATTTGTACACAGGTCAGCATGGGCACCCTGACTGGTCTGCAACTACGCAGCCCCTTATGCACAGCAAACTGAGATGCAATGCATCTTCTGACACCTTTCTATTGGAACCAGCATTAAAGCAGTATTAAACTCAAAGCCAAAAATGTAATACATTGCAACTTATGAATCATTAGATGTGGTGGTTGCCTTAGTTCTCTCTATTTTTGTTTTTTAAGGCTTTTTTTCCTGTTTTCACCTGGTGATCTGGCCAGTGACACACCTCGTGTAATAGAGTCCCCCCACTCTGGATGAAGGAGCACAGAGACAACGCCCTGGGAGGCACCACTGTCAGTCTAGGGGGAAGGGGAATGTTAGATGCACTGACTAGACTACACAACACTAATACAATGATACACCAATTGAAGCCAAGCTCCAGCTCACACTTTATATGCAGATACTCCAAACAGTTTTTCCCCCTTTTGGATAAATAAATAAAAGTTGATTTTTGTAAGCATTGCTGTCTGTAGTAAATGGGTTGTCTCTAACTGCTACATCTGCAGAACATAAAGGAAAGAAAGCCTAAAAAAAAAAAACAAAAAAAAAAAAACAAATGCAGCCATCACATCTAAGAATCGGTAAGCTGCAATATGAAAAATGTTTTCATTTGGGTTTAATACTGCTTCAACTTTTTTCAACAATTTGAGCAACAGTAGCTCTTCTATTGGATCAGACTACACTGGCCAGTCTTCCCCTTCCACATGCATCAGTGAGCCTTGGCTGTCCTTGACCCTGTTGCCAGTTTTCCTTCCTTGGACCATTGTAGGTAGGTTCTGACCACTGCAGACCTGAAATATCCCACAAAAGCAGCAGGTTTGGAGATGCTCCATCCCAGTCATCCAGCTACTACAATTTGGCCTTTGTCAAAGTCGCTCAAATCATTACACTTGCCCATCTTTTCTGCTTTCAACACATCAACTTCAGGAACATGTTTACTTGCTGCCTCCCATGACTTTCAGATGGTATTTTAATGTTATGGCTGATCAGTGTGTATTATTATACTAAAAAAATTAAATGTTTTTATATTCACGTATTACAGGCAACAAAACATTCAGATATACCCTGTGACAAACCTGTGTTGCATAAAAGGCAGCCAAACACACTGAAAATCAGACCTGCATTGTTGTTTTTGAAGAAGCTCGCCGCAATGTATGCTAGTGTGTTACCCTTCATTGGGGTGCTTTTCAGTAGCACAACACAACTATCTAAATTAACTCTTAAAAACTGAGCTCCAGACAGGTAAAAAGTACAGTATATCAGTGTAATTAGACGTTTTCCTTGAGTGCACCTTTAAAATAAGATTGTTCTCCCCTACCTGTAAAATTTTACTTAATAGCAGGCAACGCAATGAACCTGTTATTACCTCTGCTCAGACGAGCATCCATTGTGCGCAGTTTGTGACCATTTCCAGAACTGAAAGAGGGAAGGATTTTGTAGGGTAATTGTCTGCTTTTGGCTTGATGGCTGCTGGCATTCATACTGGACAGCGGGAGGCAGGTGGGAGCAGCCTTTGCCCAAATACAAGGTCATAAATGCAAAGTTAAAGTGACCCATTGCTTTGCCTATAACGAACATAGTGAGGGGTCACTTAATCACCAACTTTCCCAGCTGCATGTACTCACCCTGATCCGATACCCAACAGGTGAATAATGACAATTCATATATCTCCACCAGTTTTTCACACTGACTGATGTATTTGAACCATATCTGTCTCAAAACTGATCTGTAATCACTTCAATAAATTTCTATTCAGGATCTTATGCCCCCTTATATTGTAAAATGCATTAATTACCTGTGAATTGGAAAGACTCTCTATTTTAAATGCCTTGCAGCTTATTTAAGCTCATGGGCATGATATTTTCAGAAAAATGCTATTCCAGATGCATTACATATCATGGTTGTTCAAATGCATAGCATTGATTCCCAGTAGGAAAAAAACATATACACTCACAGCCACTTTATTATTAGGTACACCTGTTCAATTGCTTGGTAACACAAACTGCTAATCAGCCAACAACATGGATGCAAATCAATGCATTTAGGCATCTAGACATGGTGAAGACGACTTGCTGAAGTTCAAACCAAGCATCAGAATGGGGAGGAAAGGGGATTTAAGTGACTTTGAACACAGCATGCTTGTTGGTGCCAGACAGGCTGGTCTGAGTATTATTGTAGGAAGCATTAACCTACTGAAACCCTCAACCCCATCCAAAATGTCTTCAGATCCACTCAAAGACTACTAAAAAAAGGACCTACTCAGCTTTTCTAAGCGCCACACAGATTCAGCTTGGTAAACCACTGATCTGAGCCAGCCATACATGGAACGAAATTTGGCCGGTTCAGCATGGGCCAGCTGCATTTCGATCCATGTATGAACAGGGTGATTGTACAGAAATCGATCTACCAATCAACTTATGTACAACTGCCCTGCTGGAAAATGTCTGCTTGATCAGCACTACTGCCTACAGCTGGCAGTGTATCCTGATGGCAGGGAAGTCTCCATCCTGTCAGAATACAAAGGCACAGCAGAAGGATTTTTACATCCAAAAAGCCATTTTCTTTTCATTCAACCAACTGGCTGAACAAAAAAAGAATCATCTATGTACTGCCCTAAAATGGTTTTTCTTTTTTTTTTTACATAAGATACAAGTCATACTTACCTGCTCTGTGCAATTCCATTGCACAGAGCGGACCTGAATCTCCTCTTCTCGGGTCCCCTGCCAGCGCTTCTGGATTTTCCTCTATGTCCAGTGCCCCCATAGGCAACAGTCACTAAGCCCTACTGTCTGTGTCCATTGACACAGACAGAGGGACTTGGCCCCACCTTCCACATCACTGGCTTTGATTGACTGCATGGGGAGCCAAGGGTCTCCTGGTGCTACAGTAAAGCCTGTAATACCTGGAACTGAAGGGAAAGAAGATCTGCAGACATGCACAGGGCTGGATTGAATGAGGGCTCAGGTAAGTAAAAGGGGGTGAAGGGGGATACTGATCGCTAAAATATTTTTAGGAATGCATTAAGGTAAAAAATCGTTAGGCTTTTTAACCACTTTAATTTATGCTGAAGCTGCTTTGCGCTGAAAAAAATAAATCTACATGGCTCAGAATATCTCCCACAGGGAAGTGTGTCTACTTATTGACTTAAAGTTCTGTTTCACATTTGAGCTTTATATGTTTTCTAAATTTATGCACCCGAGTTGTTTTTGTCTTTACATTATATTATCAGAGATAAGAGTAATAACTTACTGCCGTGACATGTCTAATCCTGCAGTAAAGATGACATCAAAGCGAAATGATTGCACAGCCTTTTCTATATCTTTATAGTCCTTGGGGATGGTGGGATCTTCCTCTGGTTCATCTTCATAGTCACTATCTTCCGGATCAATTTTTTTTTCATCTTCATCTTCATCCTCATCCTCCTCCACTGTATCTGATCTATTTTTTTTTTTTACCTTTCTTGCTTTTGTGCCTGACACTATTATATAAACAGATAGTTCCTGCAGGTGTAGCCAGTAAATTACCAGAAACTGCATGGAACAAGCCATTGGCTGTCTGGCTGTAGTTTGTCAAATACTGTGACAGATGTCTTTGATGCGTCCAACACGAACTGCATTGGAAAGTGCTGTACGTAAATAAAACAGGTTTTTGGCAGATCCGTGAATAAAAATGCATGTTATTATTGAAGGCCCTTAGGAATAATCTGACTCCAGTCATTGCATAGCCTGCATGCACATTGAGGAAAAAGAAGAAAGAAAAAATTAAGTACACTAAAATGCTGGTCACACATATACTTTTATACAGATGCTATTTATCTGATTAGTTATCACCAGTTATCAGTTATTGGTTGAGCATAACCCTCAGAGAAAAAACAGTGATCATGTAAACCAGAACTATAAGAGATAATATCCTGCAGAGGTTTTCATCATAAATGAGACAAAAGTACAGAATGTGTTGTGTGATCACTGTTACAACTGGCAACTATATTTAGATTTTCCTCACACTGAAAAGATATCATCTCACTGCCTGTTAAAGTATGTAAACCCCTTACCTTGTAAAACAACCCATTCAATTTAAAATAGAAATGAAAGGCAAAACAATCATGTATACATATTAAAAAAAAACATTATAAATCCCTTTCCCCGAAGAGAAAGAAATCTCTCTAGTGAGACATCAATGTGAATAATAAACTGACAACAGCAGGGGGCTGCTGGAGGATGTCATATTTTCCTGGGGGGGGGGGGGGGGGGCAGCCCAGGGCAGCACAAAAACAAAAATACACCACTGGACAGCAGTGTTAATCCTCCCCATACTATCCAATATTAAAAAACAAAAAAAAAAGTTCTGGTTTTAGATATACAGTACAAAAGTTTTTGGCAGGTGTGAAGAAATGCTTTAAAGAATGCTTTCAAAAAATATGTGTTTCAATTGCTTATTTTTATCAATTTGCAAAATACAAAGTGAGCAAACAGAAGAGAAATCTGAATCAAATCCATATTTGGTTTGACTACCCTTTGGCTTCAAACCAGCATCAATTCTCATACTTGCACAAAGTCAGGGATTTTGTAGGATTAGAATCAGGTGTATAAATAACCAATTATAACAAGCAGGGTGCTATTGACCATCAATTTCATACGTAGGCTGAAATACAGTCAAACTGAAACAGCTGTGTAGAAGGCCTAAAACTGAGTGAGGAAAAGCCAAACTCTGCTACTAAGGTGAGGTTGTGGAAGACAGTTTCAAGTCACTGGTCATGCACGTCACATATCCCAGGAGACATAGTCTTTCATTCAAGAGAGGAAGAGGGGCAGTCCTATCAGTGCATCATCGGGAGGATTGCCTGCCAAACCTAGAATAGTCAACTTCTTGATGATGTCAGAAAGAACATGCCAACGCAGGACAGAGCAGTGGCCAATGCTGGATCAGTTAGTATCTGAAATGTGTAGATACCACCTTCTGATAAGTGGGGATAAGATAAAATTACAAAAAAAAAAAAAAATGGGGAGGAGGAAGGGTGCTGGTGGAGATCTGGTTTAATGCAGCTGATGAAAGACACATCATGCTTATCTATTTTCTATATCGGAAGATATCCAGCAGTGACATCAGCAAAGAACTGGTAGACACCAGTGGAAGTCAGGTACACCCATCTACTGTCTGGAGAAGACCGTCCAAATGTAGTCTTAATGGAAGAATTGCGGCCAAAAAGCCATACCTCCAGTGTAGAAAGAATTCTTTCACAGGGATTTGCTCTCACGTTCTGTTTTGGCTATGGGACAGGAAGTGAAGAGAAATCTCACTTATGGGACATAGATGGCAAAAAAACTGACAGGGATTATAGTCCTCCCCTACTTTATCCAAAATGGAAAAAAACAAAAGTTGCTTTTAGTTCTAATTTTAGCAAGTTTTGAAAATCTCAGTAGGATCAGTTCAGCTGAGCAGTAGATGGATCAAAATGTAGATGGTACAGCAGGGACCCGCTGAATTTTGATAGATCTACAGTGTATCCAGAAAGTATTCACAGCGCTTAACTTTTGCCACATTTTATGTTACAGTCTTATTCTAAAATGGATTAAACTAATTTTTTTCCTCAACATTCTACAAACAATACCCCATAATGACAGTGTGAAAGAAGTTTGTTTTGAAATCTTTGCAATTTATTAAAAATAAAAAAACAAAAAACGTATACAAGTATTCACAGCCTTTGCTCAATACTTTGTTGAAGCACTTTTAGCACCAATTACAGCCTCAAGTCCTTTTGAGTATGATGCTACAAGCTTGGTACACCTATTTTTTGGCAATTTCTCCTATTCTTCTTTGCAGTACCTCTCAAACTCCATCAGGTTGGATGGAGAGCGCCGGTGCACAGCCATTTTCAGATTTCTCCAGAGATGTTTAATCGGGTTCAAGTCTGGGCTTCGGCTGGGCCACTCCAGGACATTCACAGAGTTGGCCCGTAGCCACTCCTGTTATTTGGGCTGTGTGCTTAGGATTGTTGTCCTGTTGAAAGATGAACCATCATCCCAGTCTAAGGTCCAAAGCGCTCTGGAACAGGTTTTCATCAAGGATGTCTCTGTACATTGCTGCATTCATTCTTCCTTTGATCCTGACTAGTCTCCCAGTTCCTGCCGCTGAAAAACATCTCCACAGCATGATGCTGCCACCACCATGCTTCACTGTAGGGATGGTATTGGCCAGCTGGTAAGCGGTGTCTGGTTTCCTCCAGACATGATGCTTGGCACTGAGGCCAAAGAGTTCAATCTTTGTTTCATCAGACTAGATAGTTTTGTTTCTCATGATCTGAAAGTGCCTCAGGTGACTTTTGGCAAACTCCAGGCAGGCTGCCGTTTGCTATTTACTGAGGAGTGACTTCCGTCTGGCCACTCTACCATACAGGCGTGATTGGTGGAGTGCTGCTGAGATGGTTGTTCTTCTGAAAGTTTCTCCTCTCTCCATAGAGAAAGTCTGGAGCTCTTTCAGAGCGACCATCGGGTGCTTGGTTACCTCCCTGGCTAAGGCCCTTCTCCCTTGATCGCTCATTATGGCCAGGCGGCCCTGCTCTAGGAAGATTCCTGATGGTTCCAAACTTCTTCCATTTATGGATGATGGAGGCCACTGTGCTCATTGGGACCTTCAATGCTGCAGAACATTTTCTGTACACTTCCCCATATCTGTGCCTTGATACAATCCTGTCTCTGAGGTCTACAGACAATCCTTGGACTTCATGGCTTGGTTTGTGCTCTGACATGCACTGTTAACTGTGGGACCTTATATAGACAGGTTTATGCCTTTCCTAATCATGTCCAATCAACTGAATTTTCCACAGGTGGACTCCAATCAATTTGTGGAAACATCTCAAGGATGATCAGTGGGAACAGGATGCACCAGAGCTCAATTTTTGAGTGTCATGGCAAAGGCTGTGAATACTTATGTACATGTGGCTTTTTATTTTTAATAAATTGCAAAGATTTTAAAACAAACTTCTTTCACATTGTCATTATGGGGTATTGTTTGTAGAATGTTGAGGAAAAAAAAATGAATTTAATCCATTTTGGAATAAGGCTGTAACATAACAAAATGTGTCAAAAGTTAAGCACTGTCAATACTTTCTGGATAAACTGTATGAATGTTCCCATTTGAGAGGAGTCCATCTAATGATCGACTTCTTTTGAAGAGGACTGTTAGTACATTTTCATTTTGGGCTGAAGATGTCAGTGCCAGGCGAGGAGTTCCGAGGGAATAGCAACACTGGAGAACAAAGAAGTATAGAATATAGAAGTATATAGATTGTCAGCTCAAAAGAGAAGGGCCCTCAATCCCCCCCTCATGTTTTGCATTGTATTGGTATTGTTCTGTCACATGTTCTGTCCCCCTTTGTAATGTACAGCGCTGGGCAAACTATTGACGCTTTATAAATACAGTATAATAATAATAATAATAATAATAGTTCTGCATTAATCTCTACCACCAATTATATAGTGCAAGAGCCTGCATGATTGGATACAACTTGAAAGGCTTGTTAGGAAAGGTTCTTCTATTACAAAATTTGGTAAAGTAACGCTCAGGGCTGCTTCACAACACATACAGTCCAGTGCGTATTTATTCTGCATCAAAACTGCATGCGCACTGATTTTTCCATGTATTCCAATAGTTCTAATTCACACAAGTGTGGTTAACAAAAGTAGAACATGGTAAAAAATTTTTAAAAAAGCACTGGAACACACCAGAGTGCAACGTGAACAGGAGCCAGGCGCACTGTGTAGTTTTGTCGGTTTGATCCCAAAATAATACACCTTGTATGTGAGGTTTCCAGTTTTTCCATCCAAAGTCATTATGGTAAAACAATAATAATAAATAACCAGCCTGTGGCTTTAGGAAGCCAGGTTCCAAGTATGGACGGCCCGTCTGCTAGAGGGAAGCAGTGGAGTAGAAATGCCTGTCAGTGCAGGGACCCTCGTTTACCCGACGTCCCAGCGTCTGGATGTGACGTCACACGATGTGAGAGTACAACAGAGGGGGGGAACTCTTGCTGGAGCCGCAGCTTTAGAAGGAAGAGGCCGGTTGCTGGGACAACATGTTTTTCGCGCTATGCGCTTTGTCAAGTCTCCCTTGACTTGACAAAGGCATGCAAGCGAAACCATTGTCCCAGCAACACGGCCCTCTTCCTTCTAAAGCTGCGGCTCCAGCAAGGAGTTCCCCCCCTGTGTCTCTCCACATCCGTGGTGACGTCATCCAGGACGCTGGGACGTCGGTAGGTAAACGTTTCCCTGCACTGACAGGCATTCTACTCCACTGCTTCCCTCTGAGCAGACGGGCCGTCCATCTTGGACCTGGCTTCCTAAAGCCACAGGCTGGTTATTTATTATTGTTTTAAATGACTTATTAAAGACACACCTCCATACAAGGTGTATTATTTCTATCACAAAACTACACAGCGCCTGGCTCCTGTTCATACCTCCCACAAACCGATGTTTTTTACCATGGCAGCAGTGAGTTTTTTCCCCACCAATCATAGTTGACATATACCATTCACTTATTTCCTTTTGGGACACATCTGTGCGCTTTTATCCAGACCGAACACACCAGAGTGCACGTTTTGAATTGTCATGATGACTAAGTGGTTAGCACTTCCACCTAGCAGCACTAGGGTTGTCGGTTTGAATCCCAACCACGGCACTACCTGGAGTTTGCATGTCCTCCTGTACCTGTGTGGGTTTCCT